GTTGGGTTGCAGGTATGACATCTAGTATAGAACTTAGTAATAAGCGGACTACTTAAATAGACAATCAAAAGTTGTATGTATAGCTAGTATGTACCTTCCAAATATATATATGGTACGGACCTCTCGAAAGGGCGGCTTATCATACAGTAAGGTTAACTAATAACTAAATAAAAGAAGATAGCCAAGAGGTCACCTTAACATCGAAAAAAAAAAAAACATTGTTAGACATTTGGTTAACAAGTCACACTACTTAACTAAGTATTCAAGTAGTTAAGAAATATGTTTATATAATTTTATAGCAGAAAATAACTTAAAAATAAAATAAAATATTATCAATTTATTGCTAATGTGACCTATAATAAGTAAGGTTATAACCAACAGATTTTATACTAAAGACAGATTTTTATTAACTCAAAAAATACTCAATAGAATCACACAGATAAAACAATATTATAACTCAAGAAAAATTTAATAAATTAAGAAAAATATCACAAGTAGAACAGAAAAACAAAAAGAGATTATATTACTATATAAAGAAGAAAATAAGAATAACCCAAAACTCAAGACAAAAACTATAAACAGAATATCAAAAATATAAGGTTATAATAACAAAAATATATGGACCAATTGTCTCTGTGCCTTAGAGAAAGTGTAGAGATTTAAATATCTTTTCTGGAATATTAAATTACTATAGAAACATAGTAATTTATTAAGAAAAAGCATTTTTTATTAACGGAAGAGCACTTTCTTCTATAGGAAAGGTATTTTTTGATATTGGATAGATACTTTCAGATAGTGGATGGGCACCTTAGAACGATTGAAATAATAGATTAGTAAGTCTTCATTAGGTGGGGATCTATTTTTATTTTTTACGCTTTACTAACGCTTTTTACTTTTCTTAGTTATTCTCTACCAAGTTTGGTTTTTTGGTGTATTCTTTCAGCATTTCTAGTTTGTCACATCGTTAAATAGGGTTTTTTTATTTTCTTCGCTTTACTAACATTTTTTTTCTTAATGATTCTCTTCAAGCTCAGGTTTTTGAAATATTTTTTCTGTGATTTTAGTAAATCTTTTGTTAATCATTAAGTGGAGGGGTTTTTTTTTTTAATGCTAACTAATGATATTTTCTTTTCTTAGTGATTTTTTTCAGGTTCAGTTTTCTTGAAGCATTTCTTCAGTGTTCTTGGTAAGTCTTTTATTAATTGTATTCTATTTTTTTTTTCACTCTATTAACATCTTTTTTGGATAATTCTCTTTTAGGTTCGGGGTTCTTGAAGTATTCTTTCGGCTCTCCGGTTTCTTAAAGTGTCTTTTCAGTATTTCTGGTAAGTCTTTCATTAATTGTATTCTATTTTTTTTTTGCTTTATTAACTTCTTTCTGGATGATTCTCTTTTAGGTTTAGAGTTCTTGGAGTATTCCTTTGGCTTTTCAGATTTTTGAAGCATCTCTTTAGTATTCCTAGTAAGTTTTTTGTTAATTATGTTTTATTTTTTTTTGCTCTACTATGGATATAGATATTGAAGATACTGAATCTAATAATTATTCTGATGATGAGTTAAGTGAACTAACTCAAACATCAGAAGTAAATTCTTCTATTCTAACCACTTCAAATAAATCTTCAAACTGACACTCACCTTTATGGCAATATTTTAAATATGACTCTAAAGATCTAAATTCTCTAATTTGTAAGAAATGTAATACTAAATTTTCAGAAAAAACTAAAAATTCGAGTTTAGAAAGATATTTAAAATGTCAACATAATATTATAGTTTCAAAATTAAAAAAATATCAAACCCAGTTATTATTTATAAGCATTGATCCTTGGCCTAAACAACAAAAAGAAGAACGTAATAATGTTCTAATTAAATGAATAATATTGGACTAGCAATCATTTTGTATTATAGAAAAATAGAATGTTTGTTGAAATGTTAAGAGTATTTGATTTATGTTACTAAATTTCTCATCAACATCAAATTAAAAATATGGTTCTTGAATATTTTAATACTTAAAGAAATGTGATAATTAATAAATTATATCATATTGCAAGTAAAGTTTCTTTAACTGTAGATATGTGAACTTCAACCATCAATCACGAAGCTTTCTTAGGATTACAATTCACTATATAGACCATCGGTAGAATTTTTGCAGATTTTTATTAGATATTATTCCTTTTACTATGCATCATACAGGAGAAAATATTGCAGCAGCTATAAATAATACTTTGGCAGAGTTTAAACTTACTAATAAAATATTGGCACTTATAACTGATAATGAGTTTGCTATGATAGTTTGTAGTTGAATTTTAGCAAGTGATTTACAAGAAGAGTTAAATAACCAAACCTTTCGCCATTATAGATATACTACATATATTCTAAATTTAGCAGCACGTCATGGATTAGAAATTATTGACCCAGAAATTATTAATGTTCATGCATTAATGTCAAAAATAAAGGTATCAACAAGATTATGCAATGAATTAAGAGAATTATGCATTATACAAAAATTAGATTACTTAAAACCTGAGTTGGATATTGAAATGAGATGAAACAGCATGTACTATATATTACAGAAAATGCTTTATATGCAAGTAGCATTACAGATGCTTGTGATTAATCATAATGATATTCAATCTTTAATGCCTTTATTAGAAATATGAGATAAAATTAAAGTATAAATTAGTACTTATATTAATAGTTGCTATTTTTTTTAAAAAGAAAAGGCTAGCCATGTTGTTTTAATTATAAAAACCAAAAAATAAACTTCATTGTTTGTTTTCTAGTTTCTTTCATACCTTTCTTAGCCTTACTAAGTGTTAAATTAAATTGTTTAATTAGGAGATACTTGAATTAATGGAGCTATTAAAAAAAACCACAGTATTGCTATTTGTATTTTCATATCCAACAATTGCTAATGTCTGTTTTCTGTTCACTAGAATCCAAGAATATTTTTAAGAATGTATTAATGATGATACTTTTGGTCAATATTTGTTAGCAGTATCAATTAATTAAAAAATTGATAAATATAAAAATATAATTGATAATGCAACAACTACAGCAACAATTCTTGATCCAAGAACAAAATTATCACTACTTGAAAGAGGACAACCAACTACTGATGCAATTAATAAAATTAGAAAGATATTTGATATATATTGTCTTGAGTTACCTAACCTAATTTCTAAATTAAGTATAGTTGATAAAATTAGTACAACATAGGATTATTTTAATAGAATTATGCAGCATCATTCTGACAAACTTCTAGAATTAGCCAATACTAGACTGATAAATTAGTTTGATACTTAGCTTTGCTATATGATGAAAATATTACACCTTTGTTATAATGAAAAGCGTATGAAAAGAAGTTTCCTATATTAGCATTAATGGCAAAAGACTATTTGTTGATCCAGGTGACTAGCATGGCCTGTGAACAGGCTTTCTCAGTAGCAACAAACACAATATCAAAAACTCGAAACCGTCTTTACCCGGAAACATCAAGAGCATTTTTATGTGCTAAAAGTTGGATTGACAATGGGATTAAAGAATATAAAGTATAAGGTAAACAAATATTAAATTAAATTAAAAATAATATCACTATTTTGCTTGTAATCTCTAAACAAGTCAACTTTGATCTAAAATTTTTTGCTTTGATAATTTGAATTGGTGCTAGCAGCCTTTCACAAAGCAAAACATTTGAATTTTTTTTTTTTTTTTTTTGAAAAAATTTTTTTTTTCTTTTTTTTTTGTTCTTTCTTATGTTTGTTCTTTTTTTTTTTTTTTTTATTCATTCGTTTATTTTTTTCTTTCTTTAGTAGAAATACCCTGGGCATTTTATATTTAAATAAATGTATATGATATAAAGCTAAGCTGCTACTACGTATTTTAAACCATGCTTTTTATTATATTTTTTTCTTTTATTTTTTATTTGAACAATCTAAAAAAGTGTTGAATTAAGATTTGGGATTTTATAAATTTTAACAATAATAAAGCCAAGGTTAAAAAAATTTTGGATTATATGATTTAATTTTTTTTTTTTTTTTTTTTTTAACGTCTACCCTCTTGAGAGCTAGGATCTTTATTCAGGTATATATAGCGAAGGGTTCTCTAGAGACCTCCTACATTAGAGAGTATATACTAGCCACACATACACTTTTGGTGTTTAATTTAAGTAGTCTGCCTGTACATCATACAGGTTCTACACTAGATGCCGTACCTGTAACCCAACTATAGGTGTTACCCGTTTAACCTCTCTGTAATGTAACTAAACCTGTATCACCAAGACATCTCCGGTACATCTGTCAGTCAAGAAGTCTTGGATACTTTATCCATTTCCTTAGGACTAATTTATCCTCGAGGGATCGACACTAGAGCAGTCTGAACCCACAATCCAGATTTACCTAGATTCAGTAACTTATGCCGAGTCCGAAGACAAGTACTTGCGAGCCAAAGCCACTACAGTTACCTACTACCCCTTGTAGAGTTCACCCAAACCCTAGTACCCACTTTACAGACTATCAACCATATCTCTAACTATCCCAAACTACCAATCCAGATGGCCCGAAAGGGATTTTTTTCCCCTGGTATCTGCAACTAAGCAGATCCTTTTCCTTCGGTTCCGACGGACTCGGTCCCGGTGGCCTGGTTGGTAGGGTGCCTTGGATTATATGATTTAATAATCACAATATATTAATAATCATACAATACTTATTAAATAAAGAGAATTACTATTTGTACACAGAGTATTTGAACACAGGTATGTTGATATCTTAAAATGTTGATTATGAAACACACTTTCAGGGTTCTAGCAAAAAGATTTCTTGTATAATTTTAGTATAAATTATAATCTTTTCTGACTCTAAAGCCAACTCTACCATAATATTAAATCAGGTTTAATTTTTGATTTATATGAATTTGTAAATTAATTAATTAATACCCATATTTAAACACCCCATATACAAATAGCTATTTTCTTAAATAAAATTCTATAAAAATAAAAATATAATTTAACTAATAAATTTTTTGAATATATGAATAATATAAATCTTCTAATCTGAAATTTTTTTAGATAGTGATTTACTTCAGTTGTTCGATATATTAAGTTATACTATATATAATATATAAATAAAATTTGAGTATGAATATAAGATGAACCTAGATCTAAGACTAAGTTCTGAACCAAGTTCTGAACCGAACTTAAGTTAATAAAAGGTTTAGAACTAGTTATAAAAGACTTGGTTTATAAGTCTATATATTAGGACCTATAGGTTATTGGACCAAGATTAAACCAGACTGGACTTTATCATCTCTAGTGTTAGCCGGATATAACAAAAGTTGTTTGCCCTGTACAAGGATTATTAGCTACTTAAACTTAAAAATATCTATAAATATAGCCAGAGGAAGAAGTACTAATAACCAGACCGTAATCAGTTATATATAGCTTTTAAATTCTAATAATACAAGGCTAGTATCTGCCAAAGTATTATTTACAAATATAGCTATTACTTTGTATCATTGCAAAAAAGAGAAATAACTAACTTATAAATAATTTTAAAACAAAAAAGTAGAAAGTAAAAAGAGAAAACAACAAGAAAAGAAGAAGTTCTTAACAAAAATAATATTGAAAATCACAAATAACACAAGAGAATTTTGGTCCTATTATCATCGCAAACTGTAATATAATATTGTTAGACCTTTGATTAACAAGTCACACTACTTGACTAAGTATTCAAGTAGTTAAGAAATATGTTTATATAATTTTATAGCAGAAAATAATTTAAAATAAAATAAAATATTATCGACTTAATGCTAATATGATCTTTAATAAATTAGGTTATAATCAACAGATTTTATATTAAAGACAGATTTTTATTAACTCAAAGAATACTTAATAGAATCACACAGATAAAACAATATTATAACTTAAGAAAAATTTAATAAATTCAAGAAAAATATCACAAGTAAAACAGAAAAACAAAAAGATATTATATCACTATATAAAGAAGAAAATAAAAATAACCCAAAACTCAAGACAAAAACTATAAACAGAATATCAAAAATATAAGGTTATAATGACAAAAATATATGAACCAACTGTCTCTGTGCTTTAAAGAAAGTGTAGAAGTTTAAATATCTTTTTCTAGAATATTAAATTACTATAGAAACATAGTAATTTATTAAGGAAGAGTATCTTTTATTAACAGAAAGACACTTTCTTCTATAGGAAAGACATTTTTTGATATTGAATAGGCACTTCCAGATAGTAGATTAGCACCTTAAAATGATTGAAATAATAGATTGGGCACCTTTTACTAAGGAATAAGCACCTTTTCTTATAGGATAAGCATCTTTTATTATAGTATAGACACCTTTTACTATAGCATGGACACCTTTTAATATAACAAAATTTAAGAAAATATATAATAAATATAACTAATAAAATTTAACTAATAAAAATCGACTAATAAAAATT